TTTATAGCTTTTTTTCTGTATCCTGATTCTGTTTTCTTAGATGCAGACACTGCCTTGTCTGTTCTTTTCAACCTCTGAAAGAGAGCAAAAAAAGACAAAAGCGTTGGAGAGAAACGACAGCCAAGGTGATGCACGGTGCCCCTGTAGCAGAGCACRTGCAGGAACAAGTTGTGCTGGAAGCAGGACAGCCAGCAGTGGCTGTGGCACTCGGCAGGGTCCCTGGTGGGTGGGAAAGATGCAGAATTACACGGTTTAGCTATCAAAGACCATCATCATCTCTCCTGACGTTCCATATAGTATGAGTTATGAAGTCTGTGGTTCCTAATGCTACCAGCTTGTCATGTTGGCTGCATATCAGTTTCCATATATACATATATAGGTATATAGTGTGTGTGTGTATATATATGTATAAAGTCTATCACAAATTAATCTGGCATTAAGGCATTTTGCTATTTTACTTCTTCCTAATGGAGCAGACAATGCGTCTATAATACTGCTACCCGGCACCCTGTTTAGCCTTTCCTCCATAGCAAATGCATGCGATAAAAATAGTCCATTTGCAACAGCTTTTCTCCTTTCTCCTTAGATGTGTAAAGCAAGTAGAAATATGATAAGCGTGTGATCCCAGCTCACACCCATGCTCATTTTATTTTCGCTTAGCAGAGTGGGTCTGCAAGTGCTTCTGGCCGTGGTGCTGAGCCTGTTTCATCCTCAGTGAGCGGGTATGGGTTGTTCACTGGCCTGGCTTCCCTCTGGGGCAGCACTTTGCATTCGGCATCGTCTCCCTGCCCACTGGAGCCTTCTGACCTGTGGCTTTGGGACTCCTCCTGAGATGTGCAGCTCACTCGGCAGCTGTGTCTTGTAACGCCTGTGCCCATCTAAACTTAAGGAAAATTCTGCTAATCAGTTTCCCTGAGGTCTCCTTAAATTCAGTCCTCTCAAAGTCCTCAAAGCTAAATTGCATGATGTGCAGCCCAAGTTGCGCCAACTCTTTTATTATTATTGTTATTATTATTTAACTTATTTTTAAGGCTTATTTTTATTATAATGCTATTTACAGACACCAAACCAGTGACACAAAATGGGTCAAAACTATTTCTCACTGAAAGCACAGCAAAGTTCAGATGAAATCAGTGCAGAAACTCTCATTCATTAAAAAAAAGGAGTAATTCCTTGCCCTGTGCTTTAACACATGCTTGTTATCAGATGCTTGGGGGCAGTTGGGGCCCTGTTTTGTCTTGTCTTTGTACAGACTTCTAAGGGAAGAAAAGCTGAAGGGATTTTCACAGTCTTTTTTATTCAGGATCAACCTTCAAAGGAAGTTGTTTCTCAAGACAGTGACAATTKTAATACCTGAAACAGTGTATTAATGTGTAAGGTAAGATTCTAAGGACTATGATAGCTTGCTTTCTTCTCACTGTGACCACATGCTGAAATTTCAGTGTATTTTACAGTAATGGTTAATTCACTTTCCTGTTCCCTGACAACAACAACAAAAAAGTAATCCTTCAGAAGCTTAGAAAAAAATCTTAATATTGTATTTTGCAGTAATCTCTTTTGAAGACAAAGAATTACAAATGACATTTCAAACTCCCAGTGACCTCAGTGGCAATTTCCAACACTAAAAGAAGCTAACTTCCTATTTATTTCTTTAACTGCCATTTTTAATGCACTGATTAAACAGTAAATGGATAAATGATGAGATTTTCATAATACAAGTACACCTCACCTCGGTATAGGTGAGGCACAGCACAATTGTCTAGATATGTTGAAAGCAAATCCCGAGAARCACTACCAAGCTGAGCACACTCAAGTCCCCATGCATTGTTTTAACTGGCTCCATGTATAGGAAGGAAAGCAGAATAGATCTTCGAAGACTGCTTCAGTGGGAGATGAAGAACCTAAAGAATATTCAAAAAAAGCAAATTAAAACATCACATGTGATAATAAGACTAGTCAGCTCTCCTACAGATCTTCTGTTGTTGTGAGTGGTGCTTTTTATTATTCACCAGCACCAGCCCYCCAACAGCATTTTAATGAAATTTCCATGGTTTACTGGCTCCCAGTACATTATTTTTTATCCCCAAATTTCATATTCACAAATATTTATGAATCATGTTAATTACAAGTTGACTTACTCTTGATAACTGGATGTCGCTCTCTGCATTTCTGTTCTTTGCACTCTGATGTAGGAATTTAAAGCTGCAAAGTCAGTCATATACAGAGAAAGGTGTTCAAATGCTGCCCCTTRTAGTGATTTAGTACAGTTAAAATATAGTTATTTTATGTAGCAGATGATCTTAGTATATTTGGCACAAGACGAATCCTTGTGTTTCTGACGATTCTGATTCTGATCATGATCTACCTGAATTCTTTTTTTTGAAATTTAAAAAGTTGTATATATATTTACATTTTTTTCCTTAGCATATAAAGAACTGAATCAGCTTGGAKATAAGTGAGGAGAGGATCAAATACATCCTCAATATTAGTTGTATGTCTTTGCATGATCTTAGGGATGCTAAGTAATGATTTGCTCAGAGGTTTGCCTAAATTGGTTTGGTTGGTACTCACCAGCAGTGCTTTTAGAAAATTGTAGAATACTTTACAGCAAAAGGCGAACAGTGTGGCGTTTAATAGATGAACCTGTTTGTGAACCTCAAGCTTCCTCTGCACAAAAATTGACTTTGAAAAACAACCCTCTTGTAATCTGTTGAAAGAGTTTATTTTATGCCAAATTATCATGTAAACACTTTTTCGTAAATTTTGTTCCATATTTGCATTGCTGAAGATGGGATTTGATGCATCAAGGCTGAAATTTTTGATATTTGCATTAGTAAGAACCTGGCAATGAATCGGATTGGCAGCACTTATCTGTCAAGCAAAATTTTTAGATATGAGGCACTTTCTTGGATAATTGAAGAATTCAAGTTTGGTAGAATCCCAAAGTAGAAATTCTTCATCTGGAGTACAGTAGTAAGGATCTGACCTGAAATGAGGGTTACTTGATTGGATGCAAATGATATGCACAAGATGCACTGAAGTAATAAGACAGGAGTTTGCAGTTTGCAAGATGAATGACATAGCTTTATGTTCAGTCACAATTATATTACTATTTCTGCTTCAGTTGGTGGTTTTCTAGCATTTTTTTTTTAAGTTCATCTTTTAAATTTGATAGTTATTTTCAGATAGGATTTCAATGTGATTTTCTGGGGAATGTCATATCTCTTAAGTCAGTGTAAATAACCAAAAAATTTAATACAACAATGATTATGTTACTTGTGGAAGGCTGGTTAGAAATAAAGTAGGGTAATCTTGCTGAAATGGAAACTGAAATGTATTTAATATATATTTATTTTCCTGAGTATCTAGCTAAACCTTGGAAACCCTAATTCAAACTTAATCTGCAAAAATCAGCAGAGGGGTTTCCATGTGCTGAGTGGGTCTTTGCCAGCTGGCATTACTCTCCGGTATTAATGCTTTGGATTTTAGAAGCACAAACAAACTGTTCAGCTGCAGGGTGCCTCAGCTAAGTGTCTGCTCCATGAAACGGCAGTGAGGAGCAGAGGCTAAGTACAGAGCCCAGCATTAATCTGGTCCCCAAACTGCTCCTGCAATTAATGTTGGATGAACAGCTGATACTTCTGCTGAAATGAGTGTGAGTTTTGAAGTCCTTGCGAATCAGTAATAGGATACAGCTTTATATTCCTTCTAATCATTAAATGTGAAAATGTTTTAAATAATTTATATCTGTCATAAGTCCTTTAGCCTGCTACCACTATTCCTTTAATAACCTGCTTTGGAAACAACAGCAGCTCAGCCCTGCAAATCCTGCAACTTTACTCACACAAATAGTCTTGTTACGGTCATGGGGTCATTCGGATGAAAAGGATTGCGTGATTTGGCCTCAGGTCTTTCCATGCAACATTAGCATTTTGCAATCAGAAAAACTGGCTTCTGGATGTGTTATAAAAGTTTGCGTTTGTTTAATGCAGGTAGACATTTTTCCTTTGGGAAATTGTCATAGTTATTTTGCTGAACTCCTTGATCTTTTCTTTTCATAGAAGGTTAGTGCAACATGTGAAAACAGCACTTGCCAGATTAGACCTGCATGAGGGGGTCTTACAAACAGAAAAAATGCCAAGAGCATAATGTTTTCACCGCTAACAAAGATTTGCTTCTCTACCCTCTGATTTGTGTATTTTGTGTGTTGAATCTAGTGAATATAATATTTTTTAAAAGAAAAARCAATCGTATCATTACTCAGGGACACAGGTTTTCATTGGTTTTGTTGTTACTGTTATTATGAAAACATGGAGTACTTATCATAGACCTTAAAGACTTTAAAAAGTAATAATTTATGTTCTTTTGTGAGTTACCAATGCTGTTAAGTCTATGTCTCCCATTACATTTTCCATACAAGTCACTGCACAAGGTTGTGTGAAGCAAACAATCTTTTAACCTGCTTTTATTTCTTATTGTGATTATAATAGAGGAAAGACCATGACCTGAAATGACCCCTATTTTTCAGACCATATCACAAAGTCGCTCTTATTACTTAATACAGAAGGAAGAGAAAGGGCTAATAGTTGGCAACAGAGCATAAAGAATAATATAGTAGAAAAAACTAAGCCATAGTTAAAACGACCAAAGAAAGAGTTTTCATGCAGGTAAGAGATAAGATTAGATAAACACCTTGGAGGGAAGGACTTTGTAGTCCCATTCCTGCTAGTCAAAACCACATTGTGACTGTGACTTCTTGCTTCTTGAGTGCGATTAATGCTTCTTGATGCTCTTGAGGATAAATATTTAATTTACCTAGTGGAAAAAATCAAATGTATCTATAACCATAAGAATAGGAGGCAATTAGTAATGCTAACTTCTTTGTGGAGTCTCTAAGGCTGCTCTTTTTGGGGGAGCGGGAAGTATGTAGCTGGTCCCATGAGCTTTGCACCATGGTGGAAGAGCAAACGTCAAGGTCAACGTCTCCCCTTGCTTTCCAGGTCCATGGGGGCGATGCATGGGAGACGAGTGTGGCCCGGGCGGCATGCAGACGCGAGCGGTGTGGTGCGCCCACGCGGAGGGCTGGACAACGCTGCCCACGAACTGCAAGCAGGCAGAGAGGCCGGACAACCAGCAGCACTGCTTCCGCGTGTGCGACTGGCACAAGGAGCTCTACGACTGGCAGCTGGGCGCCTGGGGCCACTGCCGGCCCGTGCTGGCCCGGGGCCACGAGGTGCCCGCTGCCGAGTGCCTGCGGGGCGAGGACGGCATCCAGGTGCGGGATGTGACGTGTGTTCAGAAAGCCAACGGCGCCACGGCCCAGGACGCCATCTGCGAGTACTTCGAGCCAAAGCCGCGGCAGGAGCAGGCGTGCCTCATCCCGTGCCGGCAGGACTGCGTGGTGGCCGAGTTCGCGCCGTGGTCCGAGTGCTCCAAGAGCTGCGGCGGCGGCCTGCAGCACCGCGCGCGCCACGTCGTGGCCCCGCCGCGCTTTGGCGGCTCCGCCTGCCCCAACCTCACCGAGTTCCAGGTGTGCCACTCCGGGCCCTGTACTGCCGAGGAGAGYGTCTACAGCCTGAGCGTGGGGCCCTGGAGCGCCTGCTCGCTGCCCCACGCGCGAAACGTCCGCCAAGCAAGGAAGCGYGGGAAGAGCAAGGACAGGGAGAAGGACAGAGAAAAGGCCGTGCGGGACCCCGAGGCTCGGGAGCTGATTAAGAAGAAGAGGAACCGAAACAGGCAGAACAGGCAGGAGAACAAATACTGGGACATACAAATTGGCTACCAGACCAGGCAGGTTACCTGTACTCACAGAAACGGGAAAACTGCTGCTCTGAGGTAATCACTGTTTATTCGTTTGTATGTCCTTATATGTCTCTATTTAGGTAAGATATGCAGAATTGCACACTGGTGTGCTTTGCACAGGCCCTAATCTCCATGTAGCACATGCACCATCTCCAGTTGGGATGCCTGTCCTTGCGATGCACACTGGCCCCACATTGGTGAGCCAAGCAGAAGAGAAGGGTGCTCTATGGAACCACATAGTCTCCTTAGCCTTTATCTGAGTGGTTTTCCTTCAAAAGCTGAGTGTTATTTATTGATAAYGTCTCTCAATAGGTCCTCTCTTTCCGCAGTTTAGGCAAGTCTTGATTTCACAAGTCACACATGTTTGGAGTAAGTAATGCCTCTGCTTCTGTTTTTAAGGTTTGAGGCATGACCAGTAACAGGAAGTTGAGATAGTTTTGGCAGACGACAAGCACAGGAAACAGGATAGGCTATTTTACGCTGAAGTTTTTGTTTTACCAATTAAAAATTCTATCACAGACCTCTAATTGATTTGACTGTACCTGTGAGAAATAGTTTTTCAAGTATGGTAAATGGGTCTTTTGAGTATATTTAAACACAAAAGTTCAAGTAAATAATTAAAAAGCTTCATTTCTCYGTGCCTAAACACCAGTCTAACTATAGGACTCACCTCTCCAAATACAGTAAGTCGTGAAGTTACTTCTGAATTGCTTATCATCATCTGCTTATGTCCCAAAGTGAAGAGTGCTTCATTTACCCAATCTACAAACAGACTGAGGAAAAAACTGAACAAACCAAAAAAAAAAAAAAAAAAAAAAATGGGGAGCAACTAATTAAGCAGCAGTTCTTTTCAAGCTGAACATGTCAAGCTGTGTGCCAAAGGCTAGTGTCATGTTGGGATGTGTACAAACAGGAGTTGTATATATAAAGAATCCATATATTCTTCCAGGCTACTCATCTGTGGTTGTGGGTCAGTGGGGACATGGTGGCTTTGGGCAAAAGAGAGTGAACCAGTCAGAGACGATCCAGCAAGAAAGCAGGAGAATGATAAGAGGTCCCTGGCTGCAGGAAAACCTGAGCGGATTGGATTATTAATTGATAGGAGGGGTGTCTGAGAGATGTAGCCTGGCTTTGGGTGCATAAAATCCTRACACAAGGAAGAGCTGTTCTCTGTGTACTATGAGTATAGGAAGAGAATGAGGGACCTAATTGCAGAGCTGCATCAGGTTAGGTTTCATGGTAAAGCTCTGGAAAAGGCTGCCTAGGAAGTTGGTGGAGCTTCCGTTTTTGAGGGCTTGTAAGGTCAGTTTGGAAATGCATCTGCTGGAACAAAAGAGGTAACCCATTGCCACCGAAGGGTGACACAAAATGGCTGGCTCTGTAGCCTTCTGGTGGCCTTATAGCTATGGTTTTCTGCAGGTTTAAGGCCTTGACTCCTCCTTGGTTAGTTGTCCCCAGAAAGATTTACAAAATTAGCTTGGACAGGCAGCCCCAAGTTTTGTCTGTCCCTGAGTGCTGGTACAGGTGAGATTTCCTGTGCCCTTTCCTATTACAGCCTCTCATCAGGCAGCCTGGCATGTGCACCATGTCACGAACATCATGAACCCTCAAGTAGATGGAGCAGTTTATTAAATATACCTGTAGTAATATAATATACCTGTAAATATACCTGTAAATATAATTGACAGGTGATACTGTATTATCTCGTTATCTTTACACTCTTGAATTATCTTAATTTCCCCATATGTACCTCATATATGCACATTTTAGCCTATAGAATAAGAGCTCTAGGGAAGAGGATGAAACTCTGTTGCCTGAGGCAGTGAAACAATAGATTATACGATGTAGGAGTCATTCTTCACAGGACAGAGAATGGTGCAAATGATGTAATGGATATTTTCATGTCTAATGAATATAATTTTATGTGGTAAATGCACAAAGGATTTCTAAAATAATAGTATCCCCATAAAGTTCAATACAGAATCTTTTTTTCCAATTGCATTGCTTCTTGTGAAAACAAGAAACTGAGATTTTATGACTCATGTGAGAAATTCTAGCAATGATACCTTGGCTTTTACAGACCTATCTATCTGTCATCTGTATATCCATCTGTTTTCTTTATGCTGCACTCTTCATTTTGCAGACAAATGCCTTATTCTATGATTKCTGTTCCAGAATATCAAGCAATAAAATTATTTTTTTTTTCTACCCAGGTTGTCAATGCAGCCTGCTCAAACGATTTTATAATCTGTGTCTTAGAGTAACTGTGTTACTAAATAATATAGACAAGCAAGGTGACTGGGAACCTGCCATGCTCATGTGAAATGCTCTTCAGCTTGAATAGCCCATTTTCTGTGAGTTTTGGCTTTAGCAATCAGAAACAATCAGCCCCCTGGTGCATGAGTGAAAGAAGAAGAAAAACCCTCAGGCGAGTAATATTTTTGCAGAGCTAGCAAAATTGGTATGGTATAAAACGGGTTAGAAATAACAAGTTTCAGAGGAGTGCTCCAGAGAAAACGATTCTGTAAAGCTGTCAGCAAAACTTCAAAATGGCAAATTCTCTAGACGCATCACAACACCGAGCATGGTAAAGAGAAGTGGAACAAGAAAATCAAAGCGTAATTTATATACTTTATTGCAAAGTGAACAATACATAGTCTCCTGTGAAGGATGAATATTGGATTCTGTCCTGCTCATTCTGCAATAATGTACATGTTACATGGTCTATATTTTCTAGCAGTTTCCTTTAGACTGCCATTTGGGTGCTCTGAAAGTATTTTAAAAATTAGAAATAAAGCTATAAATTCTGTTGAGGAAGAGAGAATTCTGTAATTAAAGCAGACCTTAAAATGACTGTATGGAATAGCTAACAAAACCTGGGCAGCATTACTGCTAGGAGGGGGCAATACAGATCCTGTTACTGTTTTCTGGCTTCCTGGTGCAAGAGATTGCACACTGAACTGCTGCTTCAAAACGTCTAAGTATAGAAAAGCGTAATGTTCAAGTACTAAGAAATTTTGAAGTTCACTGACAAAAATTTCCCTTTAGCTGTTGGTCTATACACACGGCGAAGGGGCTAAAACTGTTAAAGGTCTGYTGACTCAAATGGCTGCAAACAGGACTGTATTTAAAGCACTTCTGCAGTTATAACTAGATGATAAGAAAACATATATATCCCCAGAAATTTCTGCACCATTTCTTCTCTCACTTTYTATCATCTGGGCGCAGATTGTTCACCTTAAGCTGGGACCACATGGCCCCTGCCTAGGGTGAGGGGAAAATAGAAGAGGGAAAGTAACAAATGATCCTGGACTACTGTTTGGTTGCTGCCCTTGGCATCACCTTTGTGGAGCAGACCTAATTGTGAAGCTCAAAGTTAATGATTACTCAAGACTGAGAACTGAAGAAATCACAGTAAAATTTTATTTGTAGACAGGTCTTGTATTTCATTACTGAGAAATCACATTGCACAAGAACAATAGTGGAGCTTAGTGACGGCAAAGAAAAACATCCAACCAAGATGTAAAAAACATCAATCAGTTCCTGGGCAACTTGTTTGTCCTTGCTTAGAAGTAGCCTTAGGAGAGTCTGTTTTCTTCTCTGAGCAAAAGGGATGCAAACATACTGCTTTCCTAAAATTTTTCATTGCCCTTTTAGAATTTCCATGAATTTGAAAGTCAGAACCATCCTGTAGATTTTTACTATGATTTTTGTGGAGACAGTGGTTTGTGTGGATATGCATAATGTTATTCACTGGGCGTTCTTTTCTCTTCTAAGTACCTGCTTCATCATTTTATCGAGGCTGCTGTTTTGACACTGGCTTGTCACTATTGCTGTACATTTGACACACCATGCCAAAATCCAGATTTAAGATGGAAAAGAGCATGCACTGCTCTGAATAATTGAAACACTACCAATGAGCCATTTCTTTCTCCACACCATATTTTAACACTTTTCATATACTGGATGGTTATATTTTTGTGAAAATGGCATTCATATATTTCTGAGCATAGCGTCAAAACCAGGCATGATTCTTGAGCTTGTTTTTGTTCGAATTAGATCTTATTTAGCAAAATGTAATAGATATATAGTGATGGTCCAGCCACATGTTCTGGCTATCAGTTTATGAATTCTAATTTTCTACCCTTCATTTAATGGGAGATAAAGATACTCAGTGGCGAATGGAACGAGATTTTGAACTCTCTATCAAAGGTTCTTCTGCACAACACTTCTACGCCTCATCATCAGAGGCAGCTGTCTATGAACTGCCTAAGCTGAAGATGCCTAAGCAAAAAAATACTGCCTGGAAAACCAATCAAGCAATATTTTTAGTTCTTTATATTGGTTCTAGGTCTATGAGATACTCTAGTAAGTAGTCACATAAGTAACAAATTAGAATGTGGGGTTTTTTTTGAGGGTTATTTTCTTCTTTCTCTTATATTGGTGCTCAGTGCAGACTTGGAACATAGCGTACTCCCTTGCTTCATAAAAGTCATAGTACAGCAGGTGAGCTGAGCATCCTTCATGCAGGAGTTGCCTCATGAGGAGCAGGGTCTGCCCAGGGAGGGAARCGGCACCGTCCTGCTTCCTGTGCAGGTCTCCTGGAGCAGCATTGCTGGGTGCTAGGAATAAATAGGGCCCTAGGAATAAATACCTTCATGAATCTACCTGTTATTTAAGATCAAAATAAATACTAATTAATGCTACAGAGGGAGTAAGAATTGGACAAAATATTCCCACAAGCACAGAGAGATCCTCCCCCTACAAAAAATAAAGAAGTTTTAATAAGTCATATATGTAGCCTATTGTGTGATAATTTTTGAATGAGTGCAGCTAGTTATAACACTGGATGTGCATACAGGTGAGAGTATCGTTGGGCTGTGCAAGCTACAACCTCTCCCTAAAAACTGCTTTGSTTTCTTCATGGAGACTCATGATGTCTACAACAGTACTGCAGCAGCTACTGTTGCTATTTATTTRGATGCAGTGCAACTTTATGTTGCTTTGGCCATATTAGTCAATGTGTTTTTCCT